CCCAGAACCGTCTCATGGAGTTTCTTGGGCTGAACCCGACAGAGGAGCTCGTTTCCCTTGTGGTATCTCTCTCATCCCCAACTCAATAGGAGCTTTGTTTAGGGCAGTGTTTCTCAACCTCTGCAACTTGCCTGGGGAATTCTGGGAGTTGAAGTCCACACCTCTTAAAGTTGCAGAGGTTGAGAAACACTGATTTAGGGACTGGAGCACTGGAATAGTTGAACGTTATGGGGAAAGGCTGCATTTGGGTGATGTTCTCTCCTCTGTTCCCCCAGCTTGAAGAAAAGCTCAAAGAGAAAGTGGATGCCAGCTTGGTCGAAAGAATCACACTGATGGGAGAGATGGATACTTTCAGCACGTATGTCCCCAGCGCCAAGACACATCTCGTTCGCTGTTTGCTCGGGCCTCCTTGCTTTACTTTTCTCCACCAGGCAAAGCGGGGCTTGGGCCCTCCACCGGAGTCTGATGTCAGGGAATAGTTTGCGACAACCCTGCCAAAGTCCTGATGGTTTCCCGCGGCATGGAGGCTGGTTTTAGTTGGGGATGACACCCGCCCCCCGCATTGGCAGGCCCACACGTTGGCCCTTGGCTGCCTCCCCCCTGAGATCTCCAGCGGTGGTGGCCAAATTGTAATGTTTGCCAATGAGAGCAGTGGGAAACAATTACACTCATATAACGTGAAGCAAAACCGCTTCAACTTGCCTCCCGGTGTCTTTGTGGATCCCGGGGTGTCAATATTATTTATTGGTTTTTTTATTTATTTCACTGTTTGCGTAGCCTGCTCAAGAAAAGGTAGTTGGGTGTAGCCATTACAGCAATGAAGAGCCATTAGAGTAGAGCCATTAGAGCAGTGTTTCTCAACCTTGGCCGCTTTAAGAGGTGTGGACTTCAACTCCCAGAATTCCCCCACCCCCATGGCCTGCCGGGGGAATCCTGGGGGTTGGAGCCCCACCTCTTAAAACCAACAAGGGATGGAAAAAACACCATAAAGGGCCCCAGAAAAAG